TAAACATGTGCACAGTTTTTTTTTTTTTTCCTGTATATCGGTTATAACCTAAAAAAGCTATTAAAAATTGACAATGTATTTTTTAATATTTGTTCCATGGTGTGGTATGAGAAACTGCATTGGTAGTCTTTTTTTTTTTTTTTTTTTTTTTTTTTTGCATCCTCTCCAACACTTGTTATTACCTGTGTTCTTTATTATAGCCATCCTATTTGGCCCCTCTCAACTGTTAGATCACATATACCTCTGTTTTATCATTGTGGCTTGTGTTTTCTTGTTTTTAATTAGGGTGATCCTTGTCTGACTGGCTGTCTTCTGTAATTTGCTGATTACCATGCTCATGTTCACTCATCTTTGTGTTCCTGGTTTATTAGTGATCCTCCTGACCTAAGTTAGAGCTTGATGGCTGATCTTGGATACAGCACTGCCTGACTTTGTAAATAAGAATAAAATAAGACAGTGGTTTTGATAGCTTTCTGTAGGAGTAAGCCATTCCGTGTCTTAATTATTGTAATTTGTTCTGTTAATAAAGTTATGTACTACAGTAACGTGGCAGACCTGTAAGATTATATATTTCTGTAACCTATTTATGGAGAGGGGAAAAAACCTGCTTACTAAACAGCTGTTTTACTCGGTTTTTAGGAACTGGTTTAAAAATGTATTTTAAGGGCAAAACAATTCCATGGTGTCAGAATTTAGAATAGTGGTTAACAACTCGGTGAGTTTTAGTAATGGGAAGAGGATTTCTGGGGTGCTGGTTATGTTTCTCGATTTGTGTGCCAGTTACGTAGACGTGTTCATTTTGTTAGTGTTCATTGATCTATAAACTGATCTATGTGTGCGTATGCTATACTTAATAAAAACTTGTTAAAAGTATGCTAACATTGTTTATTCATATTTTGCAGTAGTAAAGCTCTTCATTTGTCACATTAACTGCCTTTCTGATGAATATGTTTCATTTTTAGTTATGTTATTTACTAGTTTTACATTATTTTCATATGTACATTGCCTTGATGTAAATGCTTTAAATTCAAGTCTCCTTTTAGCAACTCGTAATTTAAGAGGTTGAATTATTTAGATACTGTATAAGCTGTAGGAAGTCTGATTTTATATTCTGCTGTACTGTTACTTAACTGAATGATCTTGGCTCTAATCTTTTCTGTATCTAAAACTGAAATGCAGCAATTGTGCCTACCACCAGGAGAATTCAGATTCTCATTAGAGAATTAATACAATAGTATGAAGGAAAAAATAGGAAAGAGAAGCTTATATTCTTTAGCTCATTATTAATGTTTCAATCCAATGTAAACATCTAGATGTACAGAAATATTTCATAATAACCACTTTAAAATGTCATACCAGGAGTAAAACATGCTGTCTGATTAGTCTTTTGAATTCTCATCCTTTTATCTGTATTTTACTGAAATAGGTTTTGAAGTAATTGTTTGATTTAACCAAATATGTTGCTGAAGGTAGTAAGATATACAATAAAATGAGTTTTTGGTATTAAAAGTTTTTAAGTAGGCTTATGCTCTATATTTACTGTATTTCTAAAAATTGGGTGCATGAGTAGAGTGATCAGAGAAAAATAATTCATAACAGACATTTAATGTACTGATGAGGAAAAGACACTTCTGCCTTTATAAGGGATCTTCTCAGTGGAATTTGAGAACTCTTCAATTAAATAGTATAAAAAACACATTAAAAATCTTTTAAATATCTAATTTTGTCTTCTAGGCTTTCCTTAAAGTTTCCCATGTCTCAATGGACTCCTGAATATAACAAGCTCTACACCTTAAAAGTGGATATGAAGAGTGAGATTCCTTCTGATGCACCAAAGACACAGGAGAGTCTGAAAGGGATCCTTTTGCATACAGAGCCCATTGGGGCAGCCAAAAGTTTTCCTGCAGGAGTTGAGATGATTAATAGTAAAGTGGGGAATGAATTCTCTCACCTGTGTGATGATACTCAAAAACAAGAGAAGGACATGAATGGTAACCAGCAAGAACAAGAAAAAAGTGTTGTTGTGAGGAAAAAACGGAAAAGCCAGCAGGCTGGCCCTTCCTATGTGCAGAATTGTGTTAAAGAAAACCAGGGAATATTAGGACTGAGGCAACACCTGGGAGCACCAAGTGATGAAGATAATGATTCCTCCTTTAGTGATTGTCTTTCTTCTCCTTCATCTAGTCTGCATTTTGGAGATTCTGATACTGTGACTTCAGATGAGGATAAAGAAGTCTCTGTAAGACATCCCCAGACCATTTTGAGTGCTAAAAGTAGAAGCCATAGTGCACGGTCTCATAAGTGGCCTCGGACTGAGACAGAATCTGTATCGGGATTGTTAATGAAAAGACCCTGTTTACATAGCAGTTCATTAAGGAGACTTCCATGCAGAAAGAGATTTGTAAAAACTAATTCCTCACAGAGGACACAGAAACAAAAAGAGAGGATATTAATGCAGAGGAAGAAACGAGAAGTGTTAGCTCGAAGAAAATATGCCTTGCTACCTAGTTCTAGTAGTTCCAGTGAGAATGACCTCAGCAGTGAATCCTCTTCTAGCTCATCAACTGAAGGAGAAGAAGATTTGTTTGTTTCTGCCAGTGAAAACCACCAAAACAATCCAGCTGTTCCCTCAGGTAAAAATGTTTAAGCTGAGTAAAACATGGAACTGATTACATTGTATTTGTGCTTATTTTTTTGTTCATGTCTTACTGATTTTGTTTTATGTAAAAGAACTATGAGCCTCTATTAACTTTTATTTTTAAGCCGTATAAATTACCAATTGTAGTATGGAACCCTGACTCCACTTCAGATATAAAAATTTAAAAAATTTCTAGTGACAAAATAAGTCAAGAGTTTTTTGGGGGGATAACCACTTATTACTTTTTTTTCTTTTTTGAAATAGAGTCTTACTCTCTTGCTCAGGCTGGAATGTGGTGCAATCTCGGCTCACTGGAACCTCCACCTCCTGGGTTCAGGTGATTCTCCTGCCTCAGCCTCCCGAGTAGTTGGGATTACAGGCACCCGCCACCATGCCTGGTTAATTTTTATATTTTTAGTAGAGAGAGGGTTTCACCATGTTTGCCAGGGTGGTCTCGAACTCCTGGCCTCAAATGCTCTGTTCCCCTGCTTGGCCTCCCAAAGTGCTGGGGTTACGGGCGTGAGCCACCACACCTGGTCTCATTTATTACATTTTATACATACTGGATTATATTATGTATTATATGTGTTCTTAATTTATGGTACACAGTTTTTTTCCTTGTGTTTCTTTAGTATGTTTGACTTTTATGAATACTTATTCAGCTACCTGTATGATGAATTCAACCATAGTAAGAACAATTCTAGTCACTAAAAAAAGACAAATAATACTTTTTCTTTTTTTGAGACAGCGTGTGGGCCTGTTGCTCAGGCTGGAGTACGGTGATGCAATCTTGGCTCACTGTAAACTTTGCCTCCTGGGCTCAAGTCATCCTCCCACCTCAGTCTTTCTAGTAGCTGAGACTATAGGCATACACCATCACATCTGGCTTATTTTTGTATTTTTTTGTAGAGATGGGTTTTGTCAAGTTGCCCTGGCTGGTCTTGAACTCCTGAGCTCAGGTGATCCACCTGCTTCAGCCTCTCAATATTTTTTCTTTAAGTACTCTATTCTTGTTGTTTGCTGTTTTCATATTTTTTATAGCTGAAAAATAATTTCAAGTATTTGAGTGGTAACTTTAATTCTGATACTAGGACTCAGAGACTTTTTGTCCTGACAGTACGTATGTTAATATGAACTATTTCCTATCAGTGCTCTTGTGCATGTGTGCTCTTGCTCATACTCACTGTCTCTCTCTTTTAAACACACACACACACAGTAAATGTGATATTTAAGTAGAATAAGTTTATTTGCAGACAGTCCAGAAATGTATGTTTCATGTATACGAACCATCCTAAGATAATGCTTTACAGCTGTAATTTAAAGGGAGTTGTTGAAGTGAACATTGAAGAGCTAAGTCTGAACTGAGAGAAAAGATTAATTTCTTGTGAAATTAGGGAATAAGAGAGTGGGCTTAGGGAGAGCTTTCTAAAGGGCTAGCTAGGATCACGGTTTCAGATACTAACATAAGCTTTCCCAGTTCTACCTTATGTCTTACGTGATAAGGTCAGGACCTGTTAGTCTACTTTTGGATGTGCCATTTCTGCTTCTTTTCTTCTTTATGAGTCCTTTTCTTTTCTAAGACTCTCTTTCCTTTTTCATTTATATTTTTCTATTTTTGCCAGAACCCCAAAACCAGTAACCTTGTTTTAGTTACCATTTCTTAGGCTTAGCCATGTTCAGTTCAGTTTTAACCTATACAAATACTTGTTTTGAGAAGAGTTCATTTTGCTTATGTACAGCCAGCTGAGAGGAATGTAGAGTAAACCATCCGTAGAAGTTTCTTGGGAATAAGGGAGATCAGTTGTCTTGCTTAATTGTCGCCTTTTTCTTAAGTGATCAGAATGTGAATTCACTAGTTTTGGAAGCGGGAACAGCAGAGCTCTATTTTGCTTGAAGTTAGTGTAACAGGATGGTTGATGTGAAGCAGAAGTTCTAAGGAGCTGATGTTTGTAGGGGAATGAGAATATAGTAATTGAATGTCATCACTGCCAGGAGTTCATATATTCTCAACTATTAAAGAGAAGTCCGAACTTAATTCATTTTAAAATCTTATTTAATACTTACTGTAGCATGTGGTTTTTTACTGCCTTTCTTGGCAGAATTACATTATTTTAACTACATTATTTTCATATATTACCCTCAAACATTAAAAACAGAAATCAAAAATGTTGAAACCAAGTACACCCAATGTTTTCTGGTTTCTAGACAAGTGATTTTCTTTAAACTAGTTTCTTAAAAAATAATGATTTAATAACATTCACATGATGTGGAATTTTAAAAGTATCAAGTAAGTATAAAAGAGTTAATAAAAATTTATCTCTTCTTCAGATGCTCCAGTCTTACTATTACTCAGAAGTAATCACTATTAGCAGTTTATCTCCTTCAGAAAATGTGAAAGCCTATTTAAGGATAAATAAATAAATAAATAATGTGGCTTTTGTATATCACTATGTATAGTTATCTCATTCTTTTTAACATTTGCATAGCATTCCCTTTGTATGGATGTTCCATGATTTAATCAGCGTTTGTCAGTGGGTTTTTGCTGCATTGAGTTACCTTTTACTTGCGTTTTGTACACGTATATAAGTATATCTTAAGGAATAATTTCTTTTTTTTTTTTTTTT